ATACTTTTGAGTTTCAGAATTCTTGATTATCAATATCAGTCAAAATAGAAAAATGGGTTCCCATGATGAACGTTTACGGAACCCAACATTAGTTGTCGTGGTTTCCCATTGGGTAATCCGACTGAACCGAAAAACGGTTACCATGAATTTCTGAAATCCTCAGGCCTGCTCCTGAATTATTTAAATTTTTGCAGCATTTGTTTATAATTGTATGTATATGTTGTTTGTGTTATTATCATATTCAATTGAATAAGTAGACCATTTCGGAATTTGAAATTTGGGACTCTCTCAATGCATAATGGGATTCATACTTTTCTGATCAGTGAGTCCCTTGGACTCGCTGCAGGTAAACTGTAAAATGATCACTGAGAGATTACCGCTTTTTCTGCAGTCAGTGATTGACTTCTATGCAAAGTCATTTCTCAACTTGTGTTCCGTGCCATGTCATGCCTGTTGAGTGTTGATTTACTTCATATTAAGAAACTACTGCACTAAAACATTAATTCATAAATGTATATCATGTGATTTTATTTCTTTTTCTCAGTATAAATAACACGTACCCTGACTGTTCTACTCTTTGAATAAAAACACTTCATTCAAGCGTTAGGGAGTGCAAAGGGTTATGATGGAGGGGTGTTGTCGGGTTGCCGGTCCTTGGACACAACATTGGCAAAAATACGTCCTTCACATCACTGATTGCTGCTGTGGTGAATGGCCCAATTTTCAACCCGTCAAAATGACGGACGGCCTTAAATTTTCCCCGTCCACTCTTAAAAAAAATCCGTCAATGATGGAAAATTGTCCGTTAATGTAACCTCATCATCAGAAACAGAAATATAATAGATGTAAATGTTTATCCAGTCTTGTTTAACTTAGATTTCATTCCAAAAAACAGGCTTTGTTATCAGCAATCACCCCTCCTCCTCCCGAGTCCTCCCAAATAAAATATGAAATCACGGGTTTGCTTCGGGCTCGGGCCTGCAACAGCGCTGACGCAACAACGTCACACAAGACAACAGCTAAACTAAGCTAGCCGAGACGACACTCGAAGTCGGACGGACACGTTTTTCTGCCAATCTGTGTGTTTCCCTTTTTGTCCAAATATATTTTTTACGACAACTGTTTTGTCCACGGTGTCTTGTGTTCGTTCCACTGGGGTTTAGCAAGTGTGTTTATAAAGAGACGAAAATCTCTTTACTGTTACAAGTGTTAGTGTTAGAACACGGCTACACTCGTGAAAGCAAAACAACAAACTCAAACGCGTCTTCGTTCAATGTTGTCAACTAATATCCGGATTAATTTTCGGCAAATTTTCCTCAATTCTCCGGACAGAATTTCATAAAAATTTGAAAAACCCGGAATTCCGGGAAAATCCGGAGGACTTTCATCTCTGATTTAGAGAGTCCCAAATTTCGAATTCTGAAATGGTCTACTTATTCAATTGCATATGATAATAACACAAACAACAACAATATACATTGATAATAGGTTTATTTCTTATAAACAAATGCTGCAAAAATTTTAATAATTCAGGCATACAAGATTTGCTGAGAAATAGGTTCTTATTTCATCCCATGGTTCAGTCTTTGAGTTCATAAATTCTCCTCTCTTTACCCTGCTTCCAATGATGCAAGGCTTTCTCAAAGTCAACTTATCGCAAAAAACTCTCCAACTTTAGCTGGTTCCTCTGTGATATCTCTGCAATAAACTTTCGCAACACTTGTTCGCAACACTTGTTTTAACGTTATATAACTTGGCAATCGTCTGCTTCCCGCGAGGTGAAGGCCGACCTCGCCAATCTCGTCTCGCGAGAACGGAAATCACGTCACGCGAGATTACTTAACGCGAGATCAAAACAACAATGGCGACGATGGTCCAACTGCGATCGCTGCTGGGAAAAAAGATTTACCGTAGTTTTTTTTTTTGTTTTGACTGAGAAGTTTCCTTGCGTCCCAAAGACGCACATTATTTGGAACTGTGCGTCCCGCGGGAAAATTATGCATCTAGGACGTGGGACGCAGAGGTAACGAGATGGCTGAGACAGTACATTACAGATGTACTTCCTTAGTGTTTAGTGAGCTGTTAGGAAACTCTGGACAGGATGAATGAAGTGTTTCCAAAACTCTGTCAGCATTTGAATGCCAACAGGACATGTATTGTTTTTCAGAATCAATCAATGTGTAATGATGTCTTCGCCTTACTCATAGTGACTTACCGTATTTTCCGCACGAAAAGACGCACTGGATTATGAGGCGCACCTTCAATGAATGGCTATTTTGTAAAATTTTTTTCATATATTAGACGCTTCGCACTAAAAGGCGCAATCTACAATGCGTCCACTAGATGGTGCTACGCTCCTTCCATTCAACTCGAGAGGCGTCCGTTCAACTTGAGAGGCATTCATGACCGCCTCTGAAAAATGTAAATTAACTATTACTGTACTTAAATGAAACTACGAAAATTGAAAATAATGCATCAAAACAGAAAATCAAGCGAGGAAATCACAAAATAAATTATATATCCCCCTACAGAATTTATTTTGTGATTTCCTCGCTTGATTTTCTTCGTGGTTTCATTAAGTAAGAATTAATTTACGTTTTTCGTAGGCGGCCATGAACGCCTCTCAAGTGGAACGGAAGAAAGCACGGAGACGGACAAAGATGTACAGTACTTGACTGTGAAAATCATTAATAAAGTCTGCGTTTAAAAAAAAAATAAAACCACAACCACAGCTCTCATTTTTTCAACAAACTCAGGTGTGTCTTTGTCCGTCTTCTTCCCTTCTTTTCTTCCGGTCAACTCGAGAGGCATTCATGACCGCCTTCGAAAAACCCATTGGCATTTCCTTTATCGTAGCTCCAAGAGTACAATCAGATAAGATAAAATAAGAAAACCGTTAATAGTCTCACAATGGAGAAATTCCCACTTCACAGAAGCAAAGTTATGAGAGGAAGAAGTAGAAGAACAAAATAAATAGGAGCTGCTGGAAAGGCAGCCACTCTCGCGGCGCCATCTTGAAGTCAAAATAACACAAGATGTCAGTCGTAGTTATTTATTCCTTTGTTGTGTCTTCACAAATGATGAAATCACAATATAAATTCTGCAAGGGGGGCAAAAGAATTTATTTTGTTATATCCTCGCTTGCTTTTCAGTTTTGATCTATTATTTTCAATTTTTGTAATTTCATTGAAGTAATCGTTAGTTTACGTTTTTCGGTGGTGGTCTTGAACAACTCTCGAGTCGAATGGAAGAAAACACGGAGATAGACAAAGATGTACCTGTATTTGTTGAAACTGTTTTAAAAAATTAACACCACAGCTCTCCTTTTTTTCGGAGCTGCAACACAAACTTATTTAATAAAGCAACGACACAGTTCACTGAACCAACAGCAAGTTATAACATTGGAAGCATGTCTCAGGAAGGAGCCATCTTGGAGTCTAGGTATTACCGTAATGACCATACAAAAGACGCATCGGATTTTAAGGCGCTCGGTGAGCTTTTAAGAAAATTGAAGACTTTTTGGTGCGCCCAATAGTGCGGGAAATATGGTAATTAAAACAGCTGACCGGTAGCCACTTGTTACTGGGCCGAACATACATATACTCTGTGGATTTTTGGAGGGGGGCCGGGGGGGGCATATATGCCCCAAATGTACGTCATCAGGCGGAACTGTTTGTCAGTCAACTTGGCCTTCAGATTAATCACTCCATGGGTACATATGAGGATGTCGCGTTGAAAATAAATGAATATATGTCTATGAAAAGACGGAAACTCCACAATTGAAATCAAAGCCCTTTTTTTTTTTCCTGTGCTGCCCACCATTACGGTCCATGCTCCTCTGGACCCCTGTGTGTTGAAAGAAGTGCTTCGAGAGGGCAAGATTTGCAATTTCACCCATAATCACAGCCGCACAGCCTTGCAGCTGTATCCGAGACCCGTGACCAGCAAGATACCCTGAGGCTCTTCAGCTGGTTGGGCTGCTTTTCTGTGAGCTTTTTTTCCATTACAAGGGTAAAATGGAGAGGTCAGGGCATTCCATTAAAATGCTGTTAAGTGTTATTTCAAAAACACAGGCGGTATTTTTGATGACTGGAGCCTGAAAAGAAAAATAGAAAGGCTGTTTCCATACGGTGGTTCTGGTTCATCCTGACCTGAACTTGCTGGAACAGAAACATGAATGGGATTGTCTGCTCACCTTTCTGGTTGTCTTCCTTTCTTATCGTCATCTTTTGAAGTCAGTTTATTTGATTTGCAAATACAAACAAAGCATATTTGATTGTTTGGTCGCCATTCAATCGGTTGTACATGAATGTCTCACCACGTGTCAGCAGTCAGCAGATAATTTAATTTATTTTATTTTTTATAAGGCAACTCTTACCTCCGGGCAAACTGGAAGTTAGAAGAGCCGCTGGCAGAGACATTTCTGGGGCTTTCTGAAGGACTGCTGCCAGCTAAAGAAACACACTTAGTTATAAACTTAAAACTTTCAAACTTCTAACAATTAACCAAAGCGAACCGTCGTTATGATCTGACCGATTATTCGGCCGGGGAATATGTTGGCCAATATTAGGCCTTTTCAAATGAACTAGAATGACAAGGAATTTTGTCAATTAAACGTCGACATAGTCTTACTTTCTCATGCCACAGTAAATGTCTCGTTGGTATGATAAAATGTAAAGGACATGCATGAGTGACAGACCGTTGTACTATGAGAATTACATCCTTCTCCATCTATGCCGATTAAGCTGCGATGCCTCGAAAAAAATTGTGTCTTCCATTTCTGTTGAACTCGCTCTCTGCACATCATACATTTCAAAGGCAACTCTGTCAAAGATGAAATGTTTTATTTTGACAAGTAAAAAGGCATCTCTGGTTTTTGTTTTGAAGCCATCGCTACATCATCAAGGGCATCATGCCAAATTCATGTTTTACCAGTAACTTTATTCATCATGTTGCTTATGTACAGCATACATTGAAGGCTTCAATCTAAAGCTAAATTATTCAGCGACTGCTGCTATTATGTACAGCTGCTTAATAAATGTTCCAAAACATTAGAAAGCTCTGTTTGTATTCATTCGAGTGAGTGTCAGACTAGGTGTCGAACCAAGAAGTTGACATTAACGCTGCTCAATGTCAATTATAACTTGAAGCTGATTAATTGCCAATAGCATGTTTTGGCATGAACAACATGGATGTCTCACCGAGATCAAAGTGAGTGAGCGAGCTCATGTTTTGGAAGCAAAAGCGTGCAAAGGCCAGGTGACAACTGAAACAAATATCCTGCTCCAAAAAAATAAAAATCAAGGGAACACTTAAACAACACAATGTAACTATTCCCTTCATTTCTATTATAAATTACATACTCAATTAATCGTTGACAAAATGTGAAGTTGTTCAAGCCCTAATTCAAACCAGTGGAGGCTGTAAATGATGCAAAACCTCCTCAAACCATAGGACTTTTTATGTCGTTCACGACGATCACGGTGTCAGAATAGCAGATAGATATCGTTCTGTGACTTGCGAGATCGTCACACTACAAATCCATCACTGGCCATACCTCACCCGGTCGTCACGTGCTTCTGTCGAGATTGTGTCAATTGGCGCAGGCCCGGAACAAGCAGTTGTCAAAGTCATGTTTCAAGACTTAGGGTTTCAAGGTAGGGTTTGAAACTAGGGTTCGAGTTTCAAAGTGTAAACTACTGCAATTTCTGGACTATAAGCCGCGACTTTTGTCACACGCTTTCAACTCTGCGGCTTATTTCATGAAGCGGCTTATATAAAGACTTTTCTAACGGCCGCCTGTGTACAGTCTTTCTTTGTAAATATCTCATGTTACAATATGGGCACCTGCGGCTTATACACAGGTGCGGCTTATGTGTGTACAAAATATTTTTTTCCTTTTAAAATGTAGTGGTGCGGCTTATAATCAGCTGTGGTCTATAGTCCAGAAATTACGGTACCTTTCTACTTAGCAAACAAAGCATCAGTTGAAATGCTAAGTACACTTTCCAATATTTTCCCTTTTCTTCAAGTCACTTTTGACCGATTGTGTGATGGAGCGTGTGTGATGGAGCGAAAAGCATGTCACTCCCTCACCAGCGTGCTCTCGCTCTCTTTTCCTTCTGAAATATTTGGCACGCTCCCGGCGGCATCAGCACTCGCATGATCACTCGCCAGAAGCACAAGCCATGCGCCTCTGCCCCGTGGTCCTGTGTGCCCACAAACTGTTTCCCTGCTGCCTGGACCCTTTTCTCTTTTTTCCACCTGTACCGTCAGACCGTGCTCTGGACTGTGACATTCAATGATTGGCCGGGGTCTGGTCGGTGTCAGACTTGCAGTGCAGACACTCCCGCACTCCAAGACACAGAACCAATTTATGAGACCACGTCAGATAATCTGACATTGAGATCATCATGAACGACAAGTCATGTAGTCTGAGTTCAGCATTAGGAGATCCTTTGACTTCTTGATGCAATTTAGTTCTATCACGTTGGGATACACTGACAGGAAATAAACAAAATATCACTACAGGGCAAATACAGGGTACTGACAATCTTGTGACATTCCGCACCAAAACGAGCATTGCTTCAATGCTGTGAAAAAATGTTTGCCCCCTTCATGATTCCTTTGCTTATTTGACACATTTAAATGTTTACCATCATTAAATTTGAATATTAGTCAAAGACAACACAAATAAACACAATATGCACTTTTGAAATGAAGGGTTTCATGATTGGAGGAGGAAAAAAACAAAAACACCGTATATGGCCCTGTGTGAAAAAGTGATTTTCCCCTAAATGCTGGTTGGGCCACCTTCAGCAGCAGCAATTCAAATCAAGCATTTTCAATAACTGGTGATGAAACTTTGAGTCTTTCACATGTTGGTGGGGATATTTTGGCACATTCTTCCTGACAGAACAGAATTGCTTTAGTTCAGCAACCCTGGAGGGTTTTCAAGCATGAATGGCCTTTTAGACTACACAATTTCAACCAGATTCAAGTCTGGACCTTCACTTGGCCATTCCAAAACCTTGATTTTGTGTTTTTTAAGACATTCAGAACATGACTTAATGTTCTGTTTTTGATCATTTTTGTGATGCAGAACTTACGCTACAGCTTGAGGTCACAAATGAATGGCCAAACATTTGCCCTCAGGATTTTCTGGCAAAGAGCAGAAATCTTGGTTCCATTAATCACAGCAAGTCATCCGGGTCCTGAAGTAGCAATCCAACCCCAGACCATCACACAACCACCACCATGTTAGGGTGTGGGTAGACGGTTCTTTTTCTGAAATGCAACTTTTGTTTTGTCAGTCCAAAGATGATTCTCCCACTAGTCCTGAGAATCATTCAGATGTGTATTACAAAAGTAAGACGAGCCGTTATGTTCTTTTTGGTCAGCAGTGATTTTGGTCTTGGAACTCTGCCATGAATGTCATGTTTGCCCAGTTTCCTCCAAATTGTTGACTCATGAACACTGACGAACCTTAAGTGAGGCAAGTGAGGCCAGCAGTTCTTGACACATTGTCCCGGGCTGTTTTGTGACCTCCTGGATGAGTCATAGCTGAGATCTTGGGGTCATTTTTGCGAGCTGACCATTCCTGGGCAGGTTCATCACTGCTCCATGCTTTCTCAATTTGTGCAAAAAGGCTCACACTGTGATTGGCTGGAGTACTAAAGTTTTAGGTATTACTTTGTAGCCCTTTCCAGACTGATAGATGTCAATTGGTTTATTTCTCATCTCATCTGTAATTTCATTGGATCATGGCATTTTTTTGTAGCTTTATGAAATCCTTTGCAATTACTTTTTCACATAGTTGGGTACTTTTGAATAGATTTTCTTTCCCTAAATAAAAAAAGCGCCATTTAAAAACAGCCTTTTATGCTTAACTTAGGTTATCTTCATCTGATCTTTACATCTGTTTGATGATTATAAACAGTAAAGTGGGGAAACAATGCAAAAAAAAAAAAGAAGCTTACGGGGGAAAATACTTTTTCATGGCACTGTATATGGATACCCTGCAATGATCAACAACCATCATCATCATGCACACAGTTCATCAAATGAGACTGCCAAGCAACAATTACACATAGATCTCAAATGGCACCTAAGTGTTAACACACAAGTACCTGTGGCAAGTGGGAGAGGTGAAAGCGGTCGTGAGAGCGTGGGCGAAGGGGTCCCGACCGCCAAACTCCTTCTCTTGTTGTTACGGGCACTGTGAGAGGAGGAAAACAAATTTAAGAGCGAAAAATCGAACACATCTGTTTTTGAAAGGCGCTTCCACAAACACGATCTATGCAGAATTCAAGCACAAAGTGCACTCGTTTTGACGAATAGGTACCATATATGAAGAACATACATGAGGATATGACCAACAATAAACAATGTCACACACATACTGATTCAATTTGATAACACAGCCAGAAGTGTTCCCATGACTGGATTGAAGCTAGAGCATCAAATCCTACAAAAAAAAAAGCCTTGTCTGACATTTTGAGGAGGCCAGATGCACCCATTGACTTGCACGACACCACTGTGCACTCTCTCCATAGCATTGCTCATCCATCAGCATGGATGAGCAGAACATTTCTGAACTAAATGAGCTCTGGATTGTGTTGACTGAACTGAACTCCGGCGCACAATTGTCAAGGTGAAATGTCTTCAACAAGCAAGGAGAATCTGGTTGCCTCAACTTAAACTTCTGCGGATTACCATGACCTGCATAGCAGAGAAGTTGACTGAACTCTGTCATTCCGCTTGTGTGATTGAGCTGCCAGATGTTCACCAACCTTTTTGAAGCAGAGAGCTACTTCTTGGGTATTAATTAATGTGAAGGGCTACCAGTTCGATTCACAAATTTGCTCAAATTACCTTCAATAATGTTGCTGGTGTATGTCAATGACATTCATAGATGTGAAGACACGGATCATGTTCATGATTTCTCACAATAACATTTTATATCTCTGCCAGTGATGACATTTTTAAACTCACTTCCACAACATCCCTAGAGAATCACATTGTTTTACCACAGGCCTACAGGCTACTCCTGGTCCCTGGCGCTACCCGGTGGGCCACGTTGCTGGACCCCCTGTTCTATAATCAGCCCACACCAAGACTGATGTCAAAACTCACCCTAGTGGAAATTCCTCTACACTCCCTTGGGGTTTTTGCAGTTGTTAATGCAGACGCGCCTCTTGCATCTCAACCATCCAAACCAGCGGTGCCCAACCAGTCGATTGTGATTGATCAGTAGCTCACAGACTGGTCCCAAGTCAATGGCGAGGAGTGTAGGGGAAAATGGAAAAAAAAAAAAAAAAGATTTGTGTGTGTGTGTGTGTGTGTGTGTATTCGTGTTATCGATATTATATATTTTTGTGTTAGTGTACACTGCACCCAAGGCATCCTATCAGTTTTACTTTCACAAAAAAAGTATTTAAAAAATAAAATAAAAAAGCAAGTCACCTTTAACCTACGGTAGCACCTGACCTGCATCACCGGAAGTTGTTAGCGGTCAACAGTCTGCAATCGCAACTTGCAATCACAGCTGTTGCGATGTTTGTTTGTTTTTTTTTTTTTTGGGTTCTTTTTTTTGTTTGCATTACTCTCATTCAAAGTTTGTTTCATCTGCAATTTGCCAATGGCACTGGCAAAGAATGGCAATCTTGGAGCACCAGGAGAGGCATTTTCAAACTGTACACGTGAGTTATAGGCTAGTGATGTACATGCAGTTAACACGCTGCAAAAGTGCATCCGATGCCTCCACGTCAGGTTTCTACGAAGGAAGGCAGTGATTTCCTTTGCACAAACTCTTGTATCGACTTTATTTTTCTGTTTCGTGCGTATGCCCGTGTGGTATCGGGTTGATCGTGGGAGATTGGCTGCTTGAAAAGTAGCCCTTTGGTCAAAAAAGGTTGGGCAACCCTGATCTAAACCATGAACTATATCAACTCTAAGTCCTAACATGTCACAACAATTAAACAGCAACTCCGATAATAATTAACGGTACTACACGACCCTCCATGCAATTCTAAATCAGGGTTCCCACTCTTCCACTTTATTTTTATTTATGGACCTTTCAAGGATTTTTCAAGGCTAATTTAGCCATTTTTAAGGACTTTTTCTCCATTCAGCAGGGCAATCAGCTTACCCTTTATTTGACATACTTTATGTCAAATTGGCCCGAAATGACCCGAAGTGATCACGTGATCATCATTGGAACTGATCGGAGACGGCGGGAAAAGCAGAGCGGCAACCTGGAAGGCATGTAGCCCGACAGCAGGGTTTGAGGGGAAGGGCGCCAGGCGCATTTTCTGCCAAAACTATTACTTGGAAGAGTGGGGAAAATGATATAAACAAATGAAATGAACACCACAGGTTAATTTTTAAGGATTTTTATTGATTTTAGAAGCTTTCCCTGAAAATTAAGGAAATTAAGAACATAAATTTACAACTTATCTTTTATGGATTTTTATGAACTTTAAGGACCCGTAGAACCCTGTAAATCGACTTTTAATGCATATTTTACCGCCAAAATGTTGATTGTTTTCCAAATTGTACCGATGTTGTACCATTTCCCCTCCCAATAACTTGTCGCATCAACTCGGATTAATCCTGAAGATATTGATGCCATTTCCCTATTTCTCTCTGACAGATGATCAAAAATAATTAAAGAGGATGTGAAAGTCAGTAGCGCTTGACATTTCTGGGTCGCCGCTGACGCTGAGGCAGATTCACACACTCGGGGAAAGCGTTACACCGGGGTGAGATGATGCTAGAGCTTCGTCAGAAATCTTTGCACCTCCAGTTAAGCCCCTCCATCATTATTTTATTTTATAATCTAAAATATGTTTACTTATGCAATATTTTTCACAGCTCTCCAATGTATCAGTCAAGCCCGACCTTTAGCCACAGGAGAGAAAAAAACATGTCCCTGCACACACTTGCATGTTTATTATGCCACCAAAGAACTGAAATGGGCAGAGGCACTCCAGGGACAAAAAAGAGAAAAGATCCACTTTTGACTTCAACTTAAAACCATCTGCAGCTCAATATCAAATCAGCACAAAGGGATGAAAGTATCATTGTGATGGATATGATTTCAACTATTGATATATACAGACAATTATAATCACGCTTGGGGGAGCATTAATTACTCACAGAATTCCCTATACCAAGTTCGTCTCAGTCCACCTTACTAAACTACATAAATAATTTTATTTCTTCAAATTCCTTTAGATTTTTTTGTGTCACACTTTTAAACAATAAAGTGGTATTTTTTCCTCATGAACAGAAACATTGCAAAACATTTTTTGTGTTTTTCTAGAGGCAGGCCGTCATTTGGCAGAGTTTTTGCTTGGATTTATGAGTACGAATTTGAGATTCACACACTGTCTGGTGGCAGCGTCAGATAGAATACTGTACATGACTTCAGTTTGAGTTTATTGTCAAGCTAAACATGAAAGAATGTAAATTCAACATTGTGTATTTAAAATAACCACAACTTAGCCTCTATTCTACTAATTAAGGCTAACGCAAACACAGGAAATGATAAACCTTCTACACCAGGGGTCCCCAACCGCCGGTCCATAGGGCATTTAGTACCGGGCCGCACAGAAAGAACTTGCCTTAATTCCGTTTTATTTATTTCGGAATACGAAAGATGTTTTATTTTGAAAAATTACCGGATTCTCTGTTACATTCGTCTGTGTCACGCTTGACACACGTCAAGCCACGCTTCTCCGTCACGTGACCGATTACGCTAAAAACAAACCGCCGGAGCTCGCAAAATGAGTAAAAAAACTGCTGGAGATCGCAAATGACGGCGGCCTTAAAAGTACGTTCGAGACAACTGGATTAAAGTTATGGCTGAATACTCTTGAGATCGCCTTAATAGCATTGTTGCTATTTCCGCCATCCTACCTGTGTGAGGCAGGGGTTTTCAGCAGCAACGGCAACTAAAACAAAATTACGAAGTAGACTGGACATAAACCACACACTTGAGGTGTCATTGTCTCCTATTACCCCGAGATGGGACCGTCTGGTTGCAGAAAATCAAGCTCAGGGCTGTGGTGAGTCGTCATTTTGATGCACTTTGAATTTGCGTTGTATCGTATTTTGAAGGCATTAAACATTACCAAAGCGATCAGAGTGTTGCGGCCAAATTAGATGCTCCTTGTGTTTATTAATATATTTCGAAAACACCACAGTTTTCATGCAGCTCATACCATATTATTTTGTTGTATAATTTCCGCCACACCTTAAATGGCGGTCCCTGAAAATATTGTCTGACATAAACCGGTCCGTGGGGCAAAAAAGGTTGGGGACCCCTGTTCTACACAGCTGTGCCATAATCCTTTGAGTAAAACATATTTGACAAAAAATGGTGCAGCAACACATGGGGACAGATATCAGTCACAATCATGTTAATCCTCTGCAATAAACGCCTATACAAATCCCACTTAAATTCTAGGCAAGGCCCAGCGCACTGCCATTCATTTCAATGTGTTGTCAGTGTGGCCAAGAAATTGATTCAACTTGAATCTCAAGGCCTCATAGTACATATGAGCTGAGTTACAGGTGAATTAAGAGTGCAAGTCAAGGTACTACTGTATTAGTTTTTCTTACAATTCTTGTATCATATGGCTTTTGATATTGTGGGTATGCCCAATAAAGTGGCCGGTGAGGGTATGACTCACTCCTACAGAATAACCGTTTTCAGCAACAGCGTTTGTCAATACGAATCCATGCATCACCGGTATTCTACTGAAAGCCTCTATATTGGTCAAGGGACATAAGGCAACCACAATCAAGGTTAGATTCGATAGGAACATCACAAACTCGTTTTACAGGACAACCGAGGACATATGCTCTCTGCTATTGGGGAGAGCTAATTCCATCTCACAGAGGGGAGCTAACATCGAAATATCGATCAGCACTGGTACTTAGTGGCATTTTATGCGACAGATGGGTGTGGATAATGTTCAATGAACACAGGCACATTTCTCAACTCGGGTGAATTCAACAGCCACACACAATGTAAGAAGAATACTGCAGACGCCATGACAAAACGGTTCCAACAGACAGCTAATAGCATAGCATTTTGTTAAATATCATTTTACCCTTTGGTTCTTTTCATCATGGCCCCGGTAACAAAACTAGTTTTGTAGCTCGGTAGCACCGTCCAGTAATGGTTTTGGTCAGCCATGGTGGCGATGTTTGTCACGGATAAAGGCAATCCAGGTAAGGGAGTTGTCTTCTACATCCAGCGGTTCATGCCAGATATTCTCCCCCGGGTGGGGCTCCGCTGGAGCCAGTTATCTTAGCTTGGCGAGTCGGCAACGTCCGAAGGCACAAATTCGGTCGTTCAGCTTCAATAAAAATTGAGCCCCGAACCGCAGCTCGCCAGCTCGGTGATGACGAGTCGCTTCTATGGCCATGCCCGTTCTTCGAGGTCTCCCCTTGTCACACGTTACGCTTCAGGAGAGGTCTGTCCTCGCAAGCACGCGACATTATCAAATGACAACAGCGACAAAAAACACCACATCAAGAGTGACGGAGGGAAAAAAAACAAACAAAAAAAAAAACTGCAGTCACAGCAGCGACGCACAGCGCATGCTTAGAGATTTGCGCTGGAGGGTGGAGGAAATGGTGTTGCTTTCCTGTGCCCTCGGACAAAAATCTGAGAGAAATGGGTCACGGCGGCAATGCCTGTCAAGTTTAAAGGATGTTTTACAATATATATTGCTTATTACTTATTTATTAAGGAACTTAAATTAAAATCCACCCGTTTTGATTTACTGGTTCCTTAAGTTTGTTTTTTTGTGCAAGAATTACTCAACGTAACTTCACCAAGTTTATTTCCCTGACAGAGGATTCGAATGCCTACAACAGAGCTCTGGGTCATCATCTACGTCGATCTTAGCGTTGAGAGTTTGCAGGATGACCCAAACCATCTGACTTCAAGCGCTTTTATACAGTTGTGAGTTATGTGACAGGGTGTTGACATCTTCTGGTCAAGCATCAAAATCGAGATCATATTTGCTGGTCAAAAGATGCATATACTCTCACACTTAACTCTCAGCGGAGGGTTAAAATGCACAAATAAATCTCGTACCCTGCCAGGTTGCGACAGAGGTCTCTGAAACACAAAGTGAGGACACAAGAGATGACAGTTGCTCCCAATAGAATCAAAAGCAAGGGTGAGGCTGCACCGGGCATCCGGCGAACAGTCAGGAGTTCAAAAGGGTGAACCCCATCCAGCTTGCCTCTTGGAAAACAAAGGAAGGGGCAGGGCTTGGAGCCAATTAAGCCCTGTGTATGCACAGATTTTCGCCAGTCGTTCTTTGGGTGCATGTGCAGTTCATCCTCTCCACATGGGTCTGGGACTGAGGATAATAGTTTGTGTTTGACATTTGTTGGTCTGAGGTGAGTTAAAATGGACGAGCAATGAGATCAATGAATCAGTGTTGAGCCCTGACCCAAGATTATTCCTCCTAAAAATGTCACCTGTCGCCTATTGCACTGGAGCTACTTGCTGGACACCCTGAACCCCAAATCTCCAAGGCAGGACAAAACAGCATGGGTTACTTTGAGGCAAGTCTTGGTTGAATTCCCTGCAAACAAGTCATCGACATCCTGGCCCAACAGAAAGCCCTCTGGAAGGACAGTACCCATTAATTTCTCTCACAAACAGGCAATGGGAGTTTTAAAGGGGGAGTCTGATTCCTCCAGAACTCCCGCCTTCCACAGTCCCTCAATCGTATCCGCAATCCTCTCAGCAGCCTCCCGTTTACAGGGGTCGTGAGAACCGTAGTAGTAGTGAGAGCCCTGCTATTGGCTGGCAACCAGTTCAGGGTGTCTCTCGCCTACTGTCCGAAGACGGCTTCAGCATTCCCCGTGACCTTTGTGAGGATAAGCGGATCAGAAAATGGATGGATAGTGTCAAAGACATGGCAGCACTGCTCCTTGTTGAAGATACCTGTTCTGTCGAAGGTCCATTCCTCTCCCTGAATTGAAGTGAATGCCTCTTATAAACCAAATATCTGTCCCAGTCAACATACAATGTGAGATGGAGAAGGTTAATCAGACAAGTATACGAGGCAAGGGAGGCAATCCAGGAAAGTTTAATAGAATCAAACTACAAGCTAGTCTTTCACCAACTCTCATCCATGACAATTCATTCGAATCATCTCAATGCTGGTCCAAAATGAGCAATGGAGAGCGAGTATCACGGCTCTGTTTTTGGGTAAGGTGGATTTTATTTTGTTCTCATTTCGATCATTAGACCAGATTCCTGGGCAGTAGTCAAGATGTGACAAGAGATCGTATAACTTGCTTAGTAGTTCTGTTAAAGAAATAAGCTCTTCGTTTTATGATTGAAATGCTTCTGCTCATTTTTGTTACTATGTTATTAATGTGAGTGGCCCAAGATCATCTTTCATCTCTTGTAACTCCCAGCAATCTGGCCTCTTTAACTTGTTCAATATGAACTCCATTCAAAGAAACACTTTATATGCATCCCTTCGAGCATGATTTGAGCAAATCGCAAGACGTTTGGTTTTGTAAATATTAAATTTCACTGAGAGTTTAAAACCATAAAAACAGTTTTCTAATTGTGGTCAATAATATCAAAAGCTGAATTAAAATCGAGAAGCACTGTGCCAACTAAAAATTTAGTGTCCCATTTGTTTTAGCCAGTCATCTGTTAAATGTGTGAGAGCTGGATCATGATTCTGTTCTTGTGTTTTTCCAGGAGGTGGCAGTATAAGGCTCTTCCAGCGTGCCCACTTGCTGCCAATTTGATCATCATGACTAAACCAGGGTGGCCCGGTGGTCTACTGGTTAGCACGTCGAACTCACAGTGCAGAGGTTGTGGGTTCGATTCTGGCTCCGGCTTGTGTGGAGTTTGTTTGCATGTTCGCCCTATGCCTGTGTAGGTTTTCTCTGGGTGCTCCAGTTTCCTCCCACATTCCAAAAACATGCCTGACAGGCTGATTGAATACTCCAAATTGTCCCTCGGTGTGAGTGTGAGTGTGAGCGCGGATAGTTGTTCATCTCTGTGTGCCCTGCGATTGGCTGGAAACCGGTTCGGGTGTCCCCTGTCTACTGCCCAAAGACAGCTGGGATAGGCTCCAGCACCCCCCCCCCGACCCCCCGCGACCCTTGTGAAGATAAAGCGGATCGGAAAATGGATAGATGGAAGTTTCATTGATGACATTTCGTTTCTTACATTTGATGATTAACACTTAAAAAAAAAAAAAAATCCAAAATTCTTAATGGATGACTTCCTGCACTGATCTGCAGCTTTCAGATTTCTCCAAATTTGTCGCCCAAGCAGCTCTCTCCATTTGCCAGGAGTCTTTTCAAATGGGTTCCAATCAGAATGGCAGACATGGGCAAATAGAGGACTTAAAAAAAGATGAGTGAGGAAGCAAAGAAGAAAGTGGCAGAAGAAGACAAAGCACTGGGAGGGAAAAATGAAACCATTGCCACCAACACTGTCTCTGGAGGGACGAAACGGCTGTCCTTGGTGCTCGGTGCAAGCTGTTTGGACTGGGGATGATTTGCCATTCCACTTAGAACACAGTGAAAGTTGAAGCAAGTGGGAAGTTGTTTAAATAGGAAAGAAGGAACATAACACCTGAGACTTGACATTAGATTCTCAGTCAGGTTTTAAAACTAGTGATGGGCAAAACAGTTCTTTTAAGTGAACTGAATCATTTGAAAAAAAAAAGTTTCATTCACTGAAGAATGTGAGAGTGACAACGTAAAAATGTCCGGCTAAAATTTCCGGCAAAAAAGACTGAGAACGTTGTGGAATGCTCATCACAAATCTGTTTGTAACATCCCAGAGGTGAACAGGCTAACTGGGAACTGGTGGGTGTTGGGGATAAAAAAATTACTCAGTCATTCACAATCAAAGATGAGGCAAGGTTTAAGTCTTTGTGAACAACTGTGTGAGAAAATAGTCAAACAGTTTAAGGACAATGTTCCTCCCTGGCCACTGGTGAATGACAGACCGGCAAAATGTATTGATCCACCCACCTCTGGTGACAAGTTTAGTTTTTTTCCATGACTTAATTTCACACTGTGAGATCATGAAATTTGTGTTGGCACTTTGAGGAATTTCTTTGTTGAAAAATGTTTTTTTTAAGGAGATCAATTTTGATAAGCTGTGGCTTCACCTTGATATGACAGCTAATAGAATAAAAATCAAAAAATCCATCTATCCATCTGTCCATCGATCCATCCAAGGGTGCCTTGAACAAAGCAGCTGACCTGCACCTGCAAAAACAAGTACAGCGGTGCCTTGAGATACTGGACCGATGAGTTTTTGGTGTCACGTTGCAAGGTGGTGGAGGACCCCAAAAAGCAGGCAGGAGAGAGGAGCAGGGTGAACTTGAAGAATTGTATTAAGACAGAGAAAACTAAATCCAAAACAAAGTCCAAAGAACAAAACGAATCCAAAGTAACAAACAAAAACCATGGCAAAAGCTAAAATCTCTCAATAACAGAAACATGACTGAAACGAACCTGACAGTAGCAAACAAACAGCCACAACGACCCGACAATGAGTGGTCGGGCGGGAGTCCTTTTAAACTACTAATTACATAACGTCCAACAGGTGTGCAGCTACAAAGGGAGCCCTACAGTGCCACCTGTTGGTCACAAACAGAATCATGACATTTGGAGAGCTCATGTACACCAAATAATAAGTCATGAGCTAAGTTTTGAGCAGCCCCGCTCTCCTTAAAGCTTGGTTGACACTGGGGATCAGTTTTTGATGGAAGTCCCACAGTCTCATGTCCATGTGCAGCTGCTCCAGCTTCAAGGAGGCGCGCAGAGGAGTGCGGACATGAATGATCCGGCACACTTCCCGTGGGACTTTGTAGCTTTTCCCGGATTTCTTCAGCACTTCGTGCACCGACGTCTGCTCCACCAACCTGGCAAAGGCACAAAGAATTGTCACTTGAATGGATTGTTTCGGGTGTTGTGGCATAGTTGCTGCACTTGAAACAGTTTGCTGCTGTTATGGAAAATAATTATGAAGAAAGCATCAGCATAAAAGTTTTATTGTTCATTGTGGCCACCTGCTTTTGAACAAAGAGCCTTTCACTTGTACATGATGATTCTCGGTAGAGATAGAATGAGACGCCCTTGACTGTCTGCTCAACACAGCAGTACCGTACTGTTTTGAGATTGCACAGTTCCTGTATAGAGTCACTTATCCCTGCATAAAAAAATCCTGCCAAGATATTTGTTTCGCACTTCTCTCAGAGTCACTCTGGAGACTTTTCTCTTAGACTTGTGTTTACCTGAAGCTTCAAATTAAAATGAAGGGTGCAGCTGGAAATGTTTTTCCATGCCCTTGTCTTGGTTCTAGCGGTGTGCAAGCCCTCGAGAGTGGGTCAGGCCGTACCAATAATTTTTTTTCCCCGCAGTGCTTACTGTCTGTTGCAGTCATTTTTTGTCCTTTTTTGCAGCGACCCCAAACTAGACTGTGGGAGAGGAATACAGGACTGATTTGATGACTGCTGTCTAGAATTGTCTCAGCAGCTCCTGTGGAAGGCCGTGCTTCCTCAACAGCTTCAGGATCAGCTCCTGGGTCATTTTCAGGATGGAGTTAATGTTGCCTGCCACTTCATCTCCTGGGAGACTGTGATTCCCAGGAACTTGAATGTCTCGACGGTTGACACAGGCCAGTTGTGATTGTGTGAGGGGCAGCTGTGGTGAAGGATGTTTCCTGAAGGGCTCACTCATCTCTACAGTCTTGAACATGTTCAGCTCCAGGTTATGTCAGCTGCACCAGAGTGCCAGCTGCTCCACTTCTTGTCAGTATGCAGTCTTCAATGAGGCATTGACTGTGGTGTCTTCAGCGAACTTTATGAGTTTATGAGGTGCAGTCGTTCGTGTAGAGGGAGAAAAACAGTGCAGAAGAGGACGCATGCTTGTGGGGGCCCAGATGCTGATGGTGCGAGTTGATGTTGTCCTTCCAAGCCTCACCTGTTGTGTCCTTGGTGTCAGGAAGCTGAGGATCCACCGGCAGATCATAGAGGACACACTGAGCTGGAGAAGCTTTGAAGTGAGGAGTTCTATTAAAATTACCAAAAATGATATAGGGTGACTCTGGATGCTTTATCTCAAGTTTGTTTACTTGTTCAGCCAGCGTTTGTAGTGCTGTGTTTGCGTTAGCTTGCGGTGGGATGTATACACCCACAAGTATGAAGGAGGAGAACTCACGTGGTGAGTAGAATGGCTTACAGTTTAGAAACAGCGACTCCAAGTCCGGGCTGCAGTCTGTGTTGAGTTTCGTGACATTAGTTCACCATTCTTCGTTGATATAAAAAGATATTCCATCACTTTACGATTTCCCTGATAGCTCCGTGTCGCGATCGGCTCAAAGGAGGCGGAAGGTTCAGCGCGCCGTCAGGGTGGCGGTGTCAAGAATGTGGTGGAGGAGGACCCCAAAAAAGCAGGCAGGAGGAAGGAAAAGGGGGAACTAGACAAACTGTATTTACAAAACACAGGGAAAACTAAATCCAAAACAAACAAAGTCCTGAAAACAAAAATAATCCAAAGTAGCAAATTGTTGAGGAGAGTCAGCTTTTCGTTTCTTTCTGGCTCTCCTTGGACACAGGTTCTTTTATCTCTCTATAAAGTGGAAGAAGACCCAACACCACGTCGTCTTTCTCTTCAGTTTATCACAACCCAACACAATACAACACGAATCGATTCGGGCTCCTGAGAGTTTCAGATCTCATCAGGACGCGCCGAAAAAATACAGTCTCACGTATATATAGGCATAGTATGTTAATTATATTAATGAGGGGCGGGCAGTCCTTCCCCTTATGTAAAAAATCAGAGACAAAGAAAGGTCAACATAGTTCAATCCTTACTTGGTTACAAATTCCAGACCAC